TCAAGGTGAGGAAGGCGCGGAGGTGGCTCGCGAGGGCCCACGAGGTACTACGACAACACAGGGCCCTCGGGCGGAAGTGGGGGCAGCGGGACGAGCACCAGAAGCTCATCAGGAGGGCGGGGGAGGGCGCGCGGCAGCATGGTACAGGACTCGCGGAGCGGATCAAGCAAGCGGAGGAGGCCCTGAGGAAGGTAGAGACAGCGCAGAAGGAGGAGCGACTGCAGCGCTGGAGGGACCGAATGGGGGCGGGCATCAAGGAGGTGGCGGCCTGGCTCCGGAGAAAACGGGAGCCTGCCACAGTCCCCGCGCTTCTGTGGCGGCAAACAACAGAGGACGAGGAGGACGAGGAAGAGGATGAGGAGGAGGAGAGCGGAGGAAAGGACGCGAGGCCAGAGGCGGAAGCGAAGGCAGGCCGACCTGCGAAGGAGGAGGAGGAGGGGGCGGCCGGAAAGGCGAAGCACGGAGGTCGGCAACGCTTGGTCGCCGACACCTTGGAGGAGGCTTGCGCGGCGATCCGGGATCAGTGGACGAAGGTCTGGGCGGCGCAGCAGGGGGAGGAGGCGGCGACGAGGCACAAGGAGGTGGGGGACTTCATGGCGGCAGAGTACCCGCCCGCCAGCAGCCAGGAGGAGTGGCGGGACCCGACCGTTGAGGAGGTAAACGCAACCATGCGGGCCGCCGGAGGCAGCGGGGGCGTGGACGGGTGGACCGGCCAGGGAGTAAAGTGGCTGCCCATCGGGGTGGCGGGCGCCTTCCGCCAGCTGGCGCTCAGGTGGCAGGCGGCCGGCGCCGTTCCTTCCGCGCTCAAGGAGACGAGGCAGGTCAACTTGGGCAAGCCGGGCAAGGTGAAAGAAGGCAGGCTTAAAGTGGAGGACACCAGGCCGATCAATGTCGAGATTGTCTGGTGGAGGGTGTGGGCGTCGGCGTGGGTGAGGTCGGCGCCGGCAGCAGAGTGGCGGAGAAAGAATCTGCCTGCGAACGTCCTGGGACGGGCGGGGTCCAAAGGGGCCGAGGAGGCGGCGGCGGACATCTGCGATGCCCTTGCGCAGCAGGGCTTCGCGGGCACCCTGGACTACTCCCTGTGCTACGACCACATGCACCCCGAGGTCACCTGCGGGCTGATGGAGCGGGTGGGATGGCCGGCAGGGATAACGAGGCTGTGCCAGGAAATGTGGACTGGACAGAGGAGGTGGGTGGCGTGGAACGGCCACATCAGCCCCGACGTACTGGTGGCTAGCGACGCGCTGCCACAAGGAGATCCATTCGGCCCGCTGGCGCTGAACATATGGATGGGTGCAGGAACGAGGTGGGTGGCGACGCGCTGCGAGGAGACGACCCGGCGAGCCTGGGCCCGGAGCCGCAGGAGGAGGGCGAGGCTAGGGCTCGAGGGCGAGAGGAGGTTGAGGGGCCCGAAGAGGACGAGGCTGAAGCCCAGGAGGAAGGCGAGAAGACGCCAGAAGCAGAGGAGGAGGAGAAGGAGGAGAAGGAGGAAGAGGCGGCACCCGGAGCAGACGAGGAAGCCAAAGAGGGCGAGGCGGCGACTGAGGAGAAGGAAGCGGCGCCGGAAGCAGACGAGGAGGATGAGGAGGGCGAAGAGAGGGCCGAGGAGGAAAAGGCGCCAGGCGCAGACGAGGAGGGCGAGGACGCCCGCGCTGCCGGTACGAGGCGGCGAGAGGAGGAGGGGGAGGAGGAGGCAAGGGAGGCCGAGGTCCACCATTTACATGGATGACCGCACGTGGACCGCCACGACGGCCCAGGAATGCATCCAGAGGGTTGGAGTGTGGCATGAGTGGAGCAGGCGGGTCGGCCTCCAGGAGAACCTGGGAAAGACGCAGTTGGTTGCGCGGGGCAACAAGGAGGAGCAGGAGCTACGGAGAGAGGCAGCGAGGCACGGGCTTGGGGAAGCAGTCAAGCCGGTGATGGAGGCGCTCGGGGTCGTGACGGTGGGGGCAAGGCCGCGTCCGCTCCAGGAGAAGGAGGCGAAGCGCGTCGACTCGGCGATGCAGGAGCTGCGCAGACTGCAAGGCCTGCCGGTGGGCAGAAGGTTGAGGCAGACGTATTGCAGGGCTTTTGGTTTGGCAAAGTGCACCTACGGGTGGATGGCGAGGACAATGCCCCTTGGGGTAGCCATGAAGATCTCGGCAGCTGTTCGACGAACAGCAGGAGGCTGCAGGATGGGGGCGGTGCCGATCCTAGCCATCCTGGAGGGGGGCACGCTGGCGACGGACGTGATCATTGGGGCCCGCCAGATGTCCATGCTGAGGAGGCGGTTGCTGAGGCGGCACAACGCCCCTCAGTATCGCCAGTGGACCAGGCAGCGCGGGACCCTGTGTGGCGCGGCCCAGGGGTGGTTGCGTCGCTTAGGGTGGGAGGAGGAAGCGCCCTGGCGGTGGTCCCATCCAGGGTTCGGAGGCTACGTCGACCTCGGGCGGCGCGCCACCATTGAGGAGGAGCTCCGAGGTGAAGACGTACGTGCCGCTCTCATGCACGAGGTTCGAGAGGGCTGGAGGTGGTGGAACTGGGAACAGTTCAGGAAGATGCGGCGCAGGGACGCCGTGAGGATGGCAGCCACAAGGTACGATGAGGCAAGGGTGAGGCTGGCCAGGGAGGCGGCGACGGCGTCCACGCGTCGCCTGCATTTGATGTGCGGGGCGTTTCTCTCGCCCATGGCGGCGGCGCAGGCAAGAGCACCGGGCCGCTGCAGGTGCATCTGGCCAGGGTGCGAGGAGGCGGTGCCGGACCAGGACCACATCATGTGGGCCTGCAGGAGGAGGCCGGAGGAGGCGCCAGCGCGGCCCCCGGAGGTGCTCCAGCAGAGGTGGGGCTGGCCCGGGGGTCAGGACCGCCAGGAGGACGCCAGGATCCTGCGCTACATGGAGGAGGTGGTGCAGAAGGTCTGGGACGACAGGTACCCGCAGAACGAGGCTAGGCGCGGCGCAGGAGAGGCTGAGGAGGGAGACTGGAAAGGAGGAGGCGCAGGAGGAGAGAGGGGAGGAGGTGCAGAGAGGAGCAGAGGACGCGTCGCCAGAGGACGAGGAGACGGGCTGCTGGAGGAGAGAGCGCCCAGACGAGCCGCCGAGGAACCCTGAGGACCGAGGAAAGAGGAGGAGGAAGCAGGAGGCGGCCGCGGGCCGCCCAAAGCGGGCCCCCCCGGAGGGCGAGGCGGAGGCGCTGCGAGGGCGGTGGAAACAGGGCCGGCGGACCGGCGCGAGGCAGGACGAGGGAGGAGGGCGCCAGAAAAGAGACCGGCCCGAAGAAACTGAGGATGGAGGGCGGAGGAAGGCTGGCCGACGGGCCGGAGGAGGAGGCAAAAGAGGCCGGCCGGAGGGCCACTGCCAAGGGGACGAAGGTCCTAGGAGGATACAGAGGAGGTAGAGGAGAAGGAGGAGGAGGAGGAGGAGGAGGAGGAGGAGGAGGGCGATTTGCACGGAGGGGACGTAGGAGGGCGAAGCGGGCGAGACCCGGGAGGAGGCTGGCGGAGGAGGAGGGCGACAAGCAAGGCGGAGGTTGAGGAGGGCGAGGAGGGCGAAGGCGAGGAGGAGGTGGCGGAGGCGGAAGGGGGGCCCCGGCCCGAGATGGCGCGCTTTTCCAAGAAGAGCTGGCCAGTGTTTCACGGCAGGATGTGGCACGCTCTTCCAAGAAGAGCCGGCCAGTGATTCACTGCAGGAGGGGTGGCCGGCCTTTGGCCATTTCTATGTCGTTGACTCCGACATCCGGGGCTTCGGCATGTACAATTTCATATAGCTTGAACGTTTTGGGGCGGTTGTTTGTGGATGCGCTGCGTTCTTGTACCGTCTTGAAGATGTATTGGGGCTCTCTTGGCTCGTCTTGGAGCTTTTCTTGGCCTTGCTACTTCCCGGCAGGAAAACGGATCTGGGTGGCGACCCCCCCTGGGACCCCTCCAGGACCCCCCCAGGACCCCCCCGGACCCCCCCCGCGCGGGGAAGGGATCAAAGGGAAGGGGCTTCCCTTCGATTGGACAACGACATTGCTCAATTTCGCGGTCGACGGCTTGTCTGAGGGAAAAGACCCAAGCCGTGGAATTCAGGAAGACGGCGACGACGGGTCGAACGGAAAAGACCCCAACTCGAACGGAAGAGCCCCTCACACACGCCGACAGGGTCAGCGGATTTGGGCCATTTGGGGGAGTTTCGGGACCCGATGTGGTTTCCACTGGCTGCGCCTCGTGAAGGGCGTTTTGGGGGAGGGGTGCAAGAGTCCCGAGGTATGGCACGAACACCGACAATACGAGTAGGGGGGGGCAGGGGCGGCGTGATGTTGTCACGACGAGGTTATTGGACGTTTTCGTGTGTTTTTACTCGTGTTTTTTTTCTCACCTCTGGATGCTTTTTACCATCTGCGCCGCGCCGAAAGCGCTCTGGAGGTACCGGAATCGGCCCAAAAGGCCGCCTGAAGCCAACGCTCTGGCCCGAAAATTGATCACCGAGTCGTGGACAAACACGGCGAAATGTTGTTGCTTGCTTGTAGAATCTCGGGGCCTTTCACCGGGCCCCGGGACCGCTCCCTCACCACCTATGAAAGCTTTTCTTTCTGAAGCTGCTTCTCTTCGTTTAGAGGAGGGGCGAGGAGGGCGCTCGTGGTGGTGCTCGTCTACTGCATCTTCTGGGGAGGGGCCAGGAAGCGAAGAGCCCTCTCGTCTTCTTGTCCCCTCCTCCTGTCCCCCAAATCTAGTGCCTGAGCGATTCTTCCTGTTATTTGTTCCTGCACTTTCTCCGAGCCAGCCTGGTCGATGCAACCTGAGTTGTGCGCGGGCGGGTCCGGTGGCGGCGCATAGAGCTGGCGGAGATTCGGGAGAGGCGGGAAGAAAGGAAGCGAAGGGGAACGATTTGGATAGGACGGTGCAACGAGTGGGGAGCGAGGGGGTGAGATGGTGAGCGAGGGCGGAGCGAGAGGGGTGGCGAGCAGGGAGCGAAGACGAGGTAAGGGAGCGCTCTTCGTGATGCCGGTCTCTTGCCTCCTGTGCACTGGCGCGGCCCAAGGCCAGGAGGAGGCAGCACGGCCGCCTCGTCGAGCGGCGCAGGGCGGTGGAGGATACCCGCGGCGGCGTGGCGGCGCGGCGGCGTGGGGCGGAAGAGGGAGAGGGTGTCCTGGATCCTCCTCCCTCCTCCCTCCTCCTCTTCCTCCTCCTCCTCCTCTTCCTCCTCCTCTTCCTCCTCTTCCTCCTCCTCCTCCTCCTTCTTCCTCCTCCTCCTCTCCTTCCTCCTCTTCCTCCTCCTCTTCTTCCTCCTCCTCCTCTTCTTTCTCTCTCCTCCTGCTCCTCCTCGTCCTCTTCCTCCTCCTGTGGCGCGCAGCGGCGGTCACCGTGACGGAGTGGCCGAGATGGCTGGAGAGCTTGCGCGAGCATGCGCTTGAGGAGGGTTTGGCGACACGGGTGGTACAGGGGCTGTGGTCTGCTCCGTTTTGGAAGGAAGAGTGTGCCATGGTCCAGACGTTCGATGACCACCTCTCGGCGCGCCCTCACGCTCGACTTCGTCGTAACGGCGTTCGCGCGGCAGCCAGTCTCAACAAGGCCCGGAGGGAGATCGAGCAGCACGCGAGGCGTTCCCAGGGACGCGACAGCGTCCCCGTCCAGAAGGCGATATACCAGTCCATGGCCCAGGAGCTTCATGACGATTCCTTCCACGTCACCATCGGGAAGATATTTGAGAAATGGCTGGCTGAAGATGGCGAGGTGGTACCCGGAGACCTCCCAGAACGGTGGCATCGTCTCCGCGCCACCCTCGCTACCCTGAAGCCTGGGGTGTGCTGGGCGGTGGTGAAAACCTTGGCTGGAACATGGCCGACAAGCCACCGAATGCACGCGTTAGACGAGCGCCTGACGTGCAGGTTCGGCTGCCAGGCCGAGGACGACATGTCCCATTACCTACAATGCCCGCGCGCTTGGCATGTATTCTCCCTCCCGAGATGGATCCCTTCCGCACGACTGGGTGTCCGACTCGGCCTCGGGCTTCCGGAGGACCAGATCGAGGATGATGGGCTTCAGCGGGCTGCAGTGCGCATAGCTTTGATGTACCACCTGTACAACATCATCCGTCACGAAATCGCAGACAACACCTACGACTACAACATGCACACCAGTGCCCTGAGTGCTCCCAGGCAGCGCGTCTAGGCCTGGAGTTGCCTCCCTGGGCTTCGTGTCCTCCTCTTCTTCCTCCTGCTTCTACTCCTCCTCCTCCTCCTCCTCCCTCCTCCTCCCTCCTCCTCCCTCCTCCTCCCTCCTCCTCCTCCTCCTCCTCCTCCTCCTCCTCCTCCTCCTCCTCCATTCTCCTCCTCCTCCTCCTGCTCCTCCTCTTTTTCCTCCTTCCGTAGCCATTTTGACTCAAGTCCGTCCCCCCTCGGGGATCTCAGGCTTGGCAGACATGGTCACCATAGCCGTCTCGCCCGAGGCCACCTGGCCGAGCGGCGCGCCGTCCGCATCCGAGGCCCGCGGTTCCGTATGTCCATGCTCTCGCACGCTCGGGTGATCCCGATCGCGCAGCTCGTTGCGCTCCTGGTGGTGGCCGTCAGCGGGACAAGACGCCGCACTGCCGCTTGGCGGCCAGGACCTACACCCGCGAATGCCGTGCGCTACAACTGGGACTCCTCCAACGCCCGCGACGCTTTCCCCTTCTTCTACAGGTTTCCCTACCACCTGCTCGCGCTGCCTCTCAAGGAGATCGGCTTCCGCTAGTACCGCTGGGAGTCTGCAGGGGCGACAACTTGCACCGTGTCGCAAACTTCATCCAGCACCTCCGCGTCCACGGGCCTGACCACGAGGGTCCCAGCGGTCCTCCTCGGCACGGCGCTGGACCACTTACACCTCTTGCCATCGATGCTGGAGTTGGTCATCGGACTCTACAGCAAAATGCTGGTCCGCTTCCACGTCCTGTTCCTGCGGAGCCCGCCGACTGCGCCGTCGATGACGCTTGTGATGCTCTCGCTGGTGGCGACCTTCATACCATTCGACCTGCACGTTCTGAAGTTCGGCGGCTCGCCATCGATGGTGGCGCTCATTATGCTCTTCTGCATGGTCCTGCTGCTGCCGCCGCTGGTGGTGAACAGCATCTCCATCAAGTCTCGTTTTTCGCTCTTGCCCCTGCAGTGCCTCATGGTTTTGCTGATCTACCGCTTGCCCTGGTCGTTGCAAAACTACGTGAAACTGCCGCCGAGGGTGGCGACCTATCTGACCAATTTCTCCAATCCCCGTGGACGTCTGACGTCAGCCATGAGAGCGATGCCGATGGTACCCTCGCTGGCGTTCTCGAGCTTCCTCACGCTGCCGCTGGTGATGTCCATGCTGGTGGCGAACGAGTGCATGAAGACGTTCCTGCTGCTGCCGCTGGTGGCGCGCAAGCGCATGAAGACGCGCAGCCTCGCGAAGTCTCTCCTTATGCCCCTGCTCACGATGTGGCGAGCGAGTGCATGAAGACATACCTGCTGCTGCCTCTGGTGGCGAAAGAGTGCTTGAAGACTTCCTGCCTCACGGAGTCTCTCCCGATGCCCCTGCTCACGATGAAGCTGCCGCTGGTGGCGAACGATTGCATAAAAGGTGTGCCTGCGGCTGACGCCGGTGGTAAACGAGTGCGCGAAGGCGTGCAGCTTTACGAAGTATCTCGCGCTGCCCCTGCTCACGATGACGCTGGTGCTGGTGGCGAACGAGGGCATGAAGACGTTCTTCATGCTGCCGCTGGTGGCGAACGAGTGCATGAAGATTTTCTGCATCACGCGGTATCCCTGGATTCCCCTGCTCACGATTTCGTTGCCGCTGGTCGCGAACGACTGCATGAAGACGCCCTGCTGCTGCCGCTGGAGGCGACCGAGCTGCTCGCCCCGAATGGGCTGTTCCTGGCGCTCCGTACTTGTGCCGTTCGGACCTCGTCCAGCTCCGCTGCTGCAGCGTAGCTCTTGAGAGCCTGGCAGACGAGCTGGTGTGCATCGCTGAGGAGCTTCAGCAAAATCCCGTTCACGTATCTGTTCACGTTCTCAGCGTCGCTGACGGTGGCGACGTCGACATCGGTGGCGTACTACACCATGCTCCTGATCTTCCGCGCTGTAATTCCGAGCTGATCCGCCCACATGCCTGCGCAGGAATAGATCTATCCTTTCCCCCCTCCGCTTCTGCTCTGCCCTCGATCCCGTCTTCTCCCGCTCTTGCGACAGCGCGCCCGATGCACGACTCTCAGGCGACCGCGACGAAGTTTACAGGCGCACGCTCCTCGGTTCTGGTCGCAGCGAATAGCGCTACTACAAGATGCATCCATCGGTAGAGGCGTTAGGCGCGAGTGGGAGAGAGTGGAGTCACATAATTGCCCTCTTCTCTCTTGCTCCTGATGCGCCTGCCCTCTTCCTTTCCACAGTGTGCCTAGACTCGTCCTCTTCCTCCTCCTCTTCCTCCTTCCTCCTGTCCTTCCTCCTCCTCCTCCTTTCTCTCTCCTCCTCCGCCGCCTCCTCCTCCTCCTCGTCCTCCTCCTCGTCCTCCTCCTCGTCGTCCTCCTCCTCCTCCCCCTGCTCCTCCGTCGCCATTTTGGCTCAAGTTCTAAACGTGCCCCTATCGCTTCGAGCTTGGACGCAGCCAAGGGGTTGGCCCGAGCGCCCCGAGGTTAGGCCTCGCAATCTTCTCCAGTCGGGGCCCACAGCACGCGGCAGCCGCTCCGCGCCCCACCAGTCTCACCGCCGCGAGATGGGCGCACCTGCGACGCCCATGGCTTCGCAGCTTTCTGACGCAGAGGAGGGCCCTCCGAGGAAGGGTGTCCGCATCGGCGAGTCCGAGTGGCTCCGTGACATTCTTGGAGAAGAAAAGTATCCATGCACATGAAGTTAAGACCGATCCCCTGAATGTCCGCATGCAGGCCCTCGAGGACACGCCCAATGCTGGCCTGGACGACGCGCAGTCCGCGGCCAACAACGTGCCCTCAGAAGCTGTCGACCGGCAGCTGAAGGCCGTCCGAGATCAGAACGCCAGGATGCAAGCTGAGCTTGCAGCCATCTCGTCACGCGCGCCAACCAGCAGGTCGAGTGCTTCTGTCGCCTCGAACGACATTGAGAAGGAGCGCAGCAATTTTAAATTCATCCTGGCGAAGGATCCAACCATAAGCAATTCGTAACGCTTTGTGGGTGCCGCTTTCGGTGGGGCTCCCTATGGGGCCACGATGCGATGCCTTGGGTGGGGGAACCGCGTGCGAACTGCGCCACTGGGGCGGGCCTTCCGTGGAGCTTTCTATGGGGCCACGAAGCGCTGCCCTCGGCGGGGGAACCGCATGCGAACTGCGCCACTGGGGCCTTCGGCGGAGCTCTATGGGGCCACGAAACGCTGCCCTGGGTGGGGGACCGCATGCGAACTGCGCCGCGGGGGCCATCGGCGGAGCTCCCTATGGGGCCACGAAACGCTGCCCTGGGTGGGGGGAGCGCACGCGAACTGCGCCGCTGGGGCCTTCGGTGGAGCTCCTTATGGAGCCACGAAGCGCTGCCCTGTGCGGGGGAACCGCTCGCGAACTGCGCCACTGGGGCATCCGGTGGAGCCCCCTATGGGGCCACGAAGCGCTGCCCTGGGTGGGGGAACCGCACGCGAGAGCAGCCACTGGGGCATTCGGTGGAGCTTCCTATGGGGCCACGAAGCGCTGCCCTGGGTTGGGAAAGCAGCCACTGGGGCCTTCGGCGGAGTTCCCTATGGGGCCGTTGCCCTGGGTAGGGGAACCGCATGCGAGAGCAGCCACTGCGGCCTTCGGTGGAGCTCCCTATAGGGCCACGAAACGCTGCCCTGGGTGGGGGAACCGCATGCGACCCCCTTCCCCCCACTGGGGCCATCGGCGGAGCTCCTTATGGGGCCACGAAACGGTGCCCTGGGTGGGGGAACCGCATGCGACCACCCCCACTGGGGTCTCCGGCGGGGCTCCCCATGGGGCGACGAAGCGCTGCCCTGGGCGGGGGATGCGCATGCGACCCCCCCTCCCCCTTCGCACTGGGGCCATCGGCGGAGCTCCCTATGGGGCCACGAAGCGCTGCCCTGGGTGGGAGACAGCATGCGACCCCCCCCCACACTGGGGTCATCGGC